CCCCAAAACCCCAAAACCCCAAAACCCCAAAACCCCAAAACCCCAATTATTTCTCAAAATAATAAAATATGAAATTTATAAGACCAATTTGTTCATGTCTTTGATCGGAACCTTGACTTCTCCACAAGAATTATCGGACTCTTTCTTCCTCTTGTTTGGACCAAACTTGAACTGGGCCTCAAAGTTCTCTCCTGAAAATGCTGATAGGGTTGATAACTTAGGATTCTTTGCTTTATTTCTCCTGAAGAGAGGCTTAGTAGTTTTTCTGAATAGGAAGTTATTAGCGAGTAAACACAAGCTTACCTAAGACTGCTATGTTCAAAAGTATTCCGCCCATGGCTTATACTTAATTTTGGGGTGTTTATACTCTTCTTTGCAAACTCCATCTTACTCTCTAACCAGGATGTTATAGATTTGGAGTACTCAAAAGTCCTGTCCCTGTCTTTGCTAAGAGAAATACTATTTTTATGACTCTGGTTTGAAGACATTATACTATTGAATGTTCTTTTCTGACTATTCCTCAGCTTTTTCTGTATTTTTCCTCTTACTATCACTGGCGACATAGGGCCTCTAATAGATTTATTCATCCTAACATTGCTATCGCCACTTGGTTTGAGCTCATTATTGAAATGTGACATCATTCTTGTGACTCTATTTTTCAACAGCCAGCTTTTCATTAATGGAGCTATTAATCTTTGAGATCTTTAAACTTCTTATATATCGATTGAGTAACTCAGAAACTTCAGAAAATTCGACTGGGAAAAGCCTCATGTGTAGAATGTTTGGCCCCTTGCATCCTCTTCTAATAAATTTCAATAGGTTATTTCAGACTTTTAATTTCTGCTGTGATAGAGGAGAATTGACTGCAGCTAAGAATTTCGCACATTTTCCTCTGAGAATCCTAACTAAATTCTTCTTGAGTGTTTCAGAATCATCATTATATACTGACTCTATAGGTGCTAAAATTTAGAATAACAATTACTTGGTTGAAGAGGTGAGAACCCAACATTTCTACGAACTGGAGGTGAGGCGAAGTTAAACCTTCGCCTCACTTTATTATCCGAATTCTTCAATATAGGTATTTTTAATTTAATCTGGTTTTCAGCTTTGCTATATTTTGAGCTTTCTTCAGTATCAGAACTGACCCATTCGCTTTCATTATCTTCAGATACTACACTTGCACATTTCTCAACTTTCTTTAGACTTGGCTTAAGTTTCACCAGTGTTTTCCTACACTTAGCCTCTGCTACTTACCCTCCGAAGATCTTATCGCTTTGATTCATGGCGAATTTGATCTCATCTCTGATCTTGGTCTCTAACCTTCTGATCTTGATTTCTGTTGTTTTCTTTAAGGAACTTACCTTTAATCTTTTCTCGTTGCTCTTTAACAATGGAGGCTCTTAACTTCTGGTCGTCAATTACCATTCCTTGCAGGCTTTTGTTCTGCTTGGCTTCTTCATCTTCAAAAGAGTCAACAGCGATGATGTTTGGCACCATTGCTTGGTTAATAGAGGCGGATGACACCTTCTTCTGTTGAGGATCCTCAATAATTCTATAGATTATGAGACATAGGTACTTTATTATACTGGCATTATTCTCCTCGTGTGATTTTAAGATGTTAAACTTCTTAATCTTGTAGCTCTTGAAATTACTTAGATATCTCTTGTTGATGGAAAACAATTGCTTCTTGATAGATTCCAGTCTTTGGGAATTCTTTATATTTTTATGAGCTGCCCTTCTAGGGCTAATTCTAAGGAATTTTTGGATTTCTTGACGCTTCTTGTAGATATTCCCTACTTTCATGTCAGCTAGAATCATCCGGTTTATATCTTTCCCAGTGTTTAGCTCATCAACAAGTTCTTGAATTTTCTTCCTGTTAGGACTTTCTATAGAATTAATGAACACAAATTTATAAATTTAGAAGAATCAGATGAAACTTAGTAAATTTTATCAAGGTTTTACTTGTATTCAACTAATTTTGTCCTAACGATAGATGAGTAATTTGAACACGTCTAATTTTTTGTAATTCCTTCTAAAAGGGTCAACTACCTTCTCGGTCATTTTGGATTATGAGGTTGTTCAGTATGAAATTCCATCCATCTTTATTTGTTAAAATCAAAAAGTTCATCTCCTTCTATCTTTTCGCTGCAATCCATTTTGGGTACCTTGATTGTTTCTGGTGTCACTACCTCCTTCTTTTTAGACAATCTGGAAATATCTCTTTGAGAACTTAGACGTTTCTGGTTCAACATAATATTGGCTGGATTCAATTTGCTTTTTCTCTGTTCATAAAACTGTTCCATGGTTGTAACTGGAACAGGCATCAGTAATGTGGGTTCTTCTTTATTTTTCCTCCTCTTCAGAGGAGGACTCCCACCCTTTAGCTTTGTTTGATTTAACTGGTTTTATTTCTATTTGCCTTAAACTATCTCCAACTTTATTTACTCCCGTTTAATCGAAATCTAAAGCATTCATACGGTTGACTGGGGTTGGTGGAACAAGAGTTTCCTTAGTTAGGCTACTAATCCTTTTAATCTTTGCACCAGTAGTTTGAAGGCTCATGTTTGTATTTCTCATGAAAGAAGCACGGATATTGAATGATTTATTCCCTAAATGAGGACTTAACATTCCATTCGCTTGTTTCATTATAATCAATATTTTTACAAATGAAAGGGGTTTTGGGGTTTTGGGGTTTTGGGG